TACAGCCTGGTGATAGTCCCAGTGCCTAGGAATATCACATGTGTTATCTTCTTTATTCTTTGTCGTTAATTACTTTATTACCGTGTTAATAGGATAGCATGACCCCAGCCCAACCTCTTCCTTCACCACAGCCCGGCTTGTGCCTGACTCCCTCTGAAGACAGAGGCTGTGGCCTGAGGACATGGGAGGAGACCCAGCCATGGAGCAAGTAGTAATTATGCTGTAATTACATAATACATCCCTTTGACCCCAGGTCAGGCCCGAAAACTGTTTCAGATTTATCTTCCTCATAATACAAACCCTCGTGCTGAGATTACTGCGGTGTGTTTAGACAATGACTACAATATTTCAATGGAGAGTGTCTCCTGTCTGTTAGAAGTTAGACCTCATGTTTGTTTCCACCTGCTCTGTCTGCAAGATTCTGGCCAAGATGGAGAGGGACACAGCATTTTTGAGTGCAGTAGTGTGAATAAGTTCCACAGTGGCTCAGAGAATCATAGCAAAATCATAGAACTGGAAGTACTTTTTTTTTTTTTTAACTATTTTTATTGCTGTAAACATAGATTTGCCCCACTAACCACTCATTGCCCAGAATGTTCTGTTCATTCAGTGGCAGTAATTATATCCTTAATATACATAGTCTTCACTCCAGCCTATTTCTAAACTCCAGTCACCCCACAGAATGTCTGTGTGCATAGACGCTAATTCCACTGTCTCGTCTGTCTCTTTGAGTCTCCCTTGAGTTCTTCCTTGTTTTCCCTCATGCTTTGTTCGTGGCTGTCTTAAATCTTTGAGCATTTTTGAGACTGTTAGCTTCCATTCTTTGGTAGGTCTGACGTTTAGTCTTCCTCGGGGATGTTTTCTGTCCCTGATGTCTTTCCTTACACAGGCCATTCTACGCTGTTTCTTTGTACACTTGGAGACTTCTGTTATGGAATACTGGGCATAGTGAGCCCATGATGGTAGTGATTCTGGGAAGCAGAGGGTGGCACTTGGTGATTGGGTTAGCTGGGGTTCCTCTTCCGAGCTTTACAGCTTGGCTCTAGCTCTCAGAACCAAAAGCTGTTTGTGGTTTCACTCCCTGCTCCATGCAGAGCTTAGGTTCATCCAGGCGAAAGCCCAGGCCTCCTCAGGCTTTCCCCAAGCGTTTATCTTTCCCAATGACGGGGGGGGGGGGGGGGGGGGGGGGGGGGGGGGGGGGGGGGGGGGGGGGGGGGGGGGGGGTGGGGGGGGGTGGGGGGGGGTGGGGGGGGGGTGGCGGCTTTGTTCTTTGCCAGTTACACAGCACTCTCAAATGCCCTGGTTTCTGGAGGGTAACTTTCTTCCTGGCTTTTCCTCTCTGGCTTCAGATGTCATTTTGTTACTCAACCAGTTGTCATTTGGGTTCTGATCACCTGACCATGTTTTTCAGCAATGCCTGCCACTTTCCTGCTCTGGAGGGGTTCCTAATTAGATAACATAAAACAGTCCTTCAGGTAACAAGGACAGGTTAGATAAAAGGGACATGGGAGAGTGGGGCTGCCTCTTCTGCCATTTTGCTCTGAAACCCTAATTCTAGGGCTTCCTTCACCACTACATTTACCTTATCATTGCTAGCTTCTAGACAGCATCCTTTGGGTCTCTTCTGTGATAATGTTTCATACTCACGGTTTTTGCCATTACATGATCCTGTCACACTATTCCCCCAGCCTGGAGCCAAACAGTGGCTTCTCAGCTGTGTTCACAGATGGCAGATTACTGGAGGGGCATGCGTACCAGAGTGCAATCCTAGCATTTCAAGACAAAAGCTGTTAAAGGATATCCCAGGGTTCTGCAGGGTGCCTCTTGACGACTTGGCAGCTGAGGCTCTAAGCTGAATGGATCAGTTACATGCCAAGGACACAGAACCTAAACGTATCTCAGTCAAGATAAGCTGACAATCTCTGCCCCAAAGTTGTTACAAATAATTTTTTTTAAATCAACTAAAATAGTTTCTCAGACTTTTGCTAGAATCAAGTGCAAAAGCTAAATAAAACGTTAACAGACAAATGTTGAACTGTGGTCTCTATCTTGGAGCTTAATAAAGTTGACAGGTGTTAAGTTAAATTAGAGCTTATGAATCTGCTTGTTATCTGCAAAACGTATAAATAGCATCACCAAGTTGCTTGGTGGGTATTTTAATTATAACTCACGTGGCTTTGCAAAGGAAGGTAAATAGAGTTTCTTGTTTCTCTCCAACCATCTGGATTCATGCACAGCAACAGAGAGCTTTATTTATATTGATGAGACTTTACAGTGAAGGGGAAATTACATGTGGCAGTCGTGTTTTGATTTTCTTGCTTAACTATAAATGTGTTTTTACCAGAGAACTTTATATGTACCACAAAGAAATTTAGTGATAATTCACGAAGCATAATTAATCTCAAAGCAAAACATTTATAAGACTCAGGGGGCATCATTAAAAGTAACAATATCGCCAGGCGGTGATGGCGCACGCCTTTAATCCCAGCACTCGCGAGGCAGAGCCAGGCGGATCTCTGTGAGTTCGAGGCCAGCCTGGGCTACCAAGTGAGTTCCAGGAAAGGCGCAAAGCTACACAGAGAAACCCTGTCTCGAAAAACCAATAAATAAATAAATAAATAAATAAATAAATAAATAGTAACAATATCAAAATTACCGAGGAAGACACATGGAGAACCGTGAGCTTCCGTTTACAGTGTGGAAGCCTGAGGACTGTTATACAGTCACTAGTGCAGTGGAGTGGTGCAGACTCACATCAGGTAGCCTGTGAGTCTCCGATTATGCCAGTGTTTCTCTGCTTAATTGTTTCCCTGCTAAACAAGCCCATGAGAAGAAATGAGATCTGAAGCCAGGGGAGGACATGAGGAAACTTGAGTCCTGGCTAAGCAAAAGAAGCCAAGCTGAAAGGCAGCTGCACGTTACTCTGTGGGGAGTCCATTTGTGTTCAAACTAACGGTGTTGGTGAACGCGGAACTAAGTGTCTAACTCTCTTTCATGGCTCTTTATGTGTTTGTTTTTGTTTGTGATTCTTGTATTTTGTTTTTTGGGGAACAGTCTCTCCTGTAGCCCAGGCTGGCTTTAAATTTCCTGTGTAGCGAAGGATGACCATGAACTGTTCCTCCTGCTTCCTCAGAATGCTGAGGCCACTGGAGAGGGCCACCATGTCTGACTGCCATGCATAGTTGTGACCATTTCTGTTACTCACTGCAACATTTGGGGTGTTCTATTAACCTTTATTAGCCTTTGCCTCCAAAGAGCCTGTCTCAGAGGTAAACCTGTCTTAACGATCTTTTAAATATCAGTGCGAGTGGGGAGCACACCTCGCTTTGTCCAGCCGTCTCTACGGTCTCATTATTGCTCACGTGACCTTAGCAGGTAGATGCTATCTCCCCTGTGCTGCAGCGATATCAAGACAAAGCTAGGCAATCTAAGTGAGTAGGCAGAAGAACAGGAAAGAAGTGTCGGGAGTAGGCTGTGTGGCTTCCAGAGCGTCCATTCTCTGATTCTTTGGCACTTAGACAACAGATAGTTTTTCTTTCTTTCTTTCCTTCTTTCTTTCTTTCCTTCCTTCTTTCCTTCTTTCTTTCTTTCTTTTTTCTCTTTTCTTTCTCTCTCTCTGTCTCTCTGTCTCTCCCTTCCTCCCTCTCTCCCTTCCTTCCTTCTTTTTTGGTTTTTTGAGACAGGGTTTTTCTGTGTAATAATCCTGGCTGTCCTGGAACTCACAGAGATCCCCCTGCCTCTGCCTCCTCCTCTGCTGGTATTAAAGGCATAGCCATCACACCTGGCCAATAGTTTTCTAATAGAAATTCTCTGTCCTGTTAATGGCATGAAACCAGTAAGGCCATATTTTAAATATAACTCCACATAGTTGGAATATCAATGTCTACTTTATATGTCCCTAAGATAAAGTATGTCCTTATTCAGTAGCGTGATTATATAAGCCATGGTAGAACTCTGTTGTAAACTTTTGGCAGAACTAAAAACAAAAACTCACTCTGGAAATACTATGGAACTCTCCCTGCAAGAGTTTATTTCCCTGCCTGAAAACCTAACCAGTTTTATGTCAGAAAACTGGAGAAACACTTCTCTTAGGGTTGGGGAGGGACAGCCTTACTTTCAGGTGTTTAAAACAATTCTTCACACTTGTTCACAACAATGGCCTTTGTATTCCTCCTCCTCCTCCTCTTCCTTTTTTTTTTTTTTTTTTTTTTGCTGTGCAAGGAATGGAGTCCTAGGCCTTACACCATAAAGTAACACCCACTGCCTCATATATATATATTTTTTTTAAAAAAAGTTATTGTTTATTTTGTGTGTGTATTGTGGAGGTCGCTCCTCTATGTCTCTATGTCAGGTGCTGTCCACTTTAGTTTATATTATAGATAGGGAGAGAGAGGGATTTGAGACTGGGTTTCTGTGCGGGTTAGTTTTATGCCAACTTGATACAAGCTGGAGTCATCAGAGAGAGGGAGCCCCAATTGAGAAAATGCCTCCATAAGGTCAGGCCATAGGCAAGACTGTGGGACCTTTTCTAAATTAGTGATTGATGTGGGAGTGTCCAGCCCATTGTGGGTGGTGCCATCCATGGGCTGGTGGCCCTGGGTTCTATAAGAAAGCAGGCTGGGCAAGCCATGAAGAGCAAGCCAGTAAGCAGCACCCCTCCATGGCCTCTGCATCGGCTCCTGCCTCCAGATTCCTGCCCTGTTTGAGTTCATGTCCTGATTTTCTTCTATGACGAGCAGCAATGTGGAAGCATAAGCCAAATAAACCCTTTCCTCCTCAGCTTGCTTTTGGTCATGGTGTTTCATCACAGCAAAGGTGACCCTAACCTGCCTCCTCAGCCCCTTATTACTGATACTCAGTTATAGTTGTGCAGAAATCGCCAACTGAAGGAGGACAGTAATTTGTGACTTCTGGGTTTTATCATCAATGGGAGTGGTCGTTTAAAAGCATTCCTCCATGACGGGTCTAGCCTGATGTAGTCATTTCCTCGTGTTCTGTAGGAGATGCCAGACCTTTAGTGCAGACACTGACTGCAGAGTTGCAGGCTGTTGGGGAAGAGGCTGCCGGAGTGAATGCAAATGACCCCCCAAAAGCTCCAGCACCAGCACTGCAGCCGCTCTTCTCGCTGCTCCGAGGGGAGGTGGAGCAGATGGACTCAAGAGCACTCCCCCTCTTCCTCCATCAGGTAAGACCACACCCTTTGCTCTCAGCCTCACTGGCTGCTGCCAGTGTTTTGGAGTCATCTAAAATCCGGTTCTCCATGATTGATCTCTCCCACCCACTGTTGACCCTAAATGCATGGCTGGTAGAAAATCTGGCCTATTCTGGCGAGTAGACTCACTGCGCCCTGCATGATCTGTCATTTGGACAGTAGCCAACGCCTTTATTCAGTGATTCAGCCAAGCATAAAGAAGAATCAATATGGCAAGAGTTTGGTAAGCTCCAACTGGATGCCAAGAGGCCTGCTAGCCACTGAAGGAACAAAGACTCCTAAGGCATGTTCTAAAGAGAGCCGTGGTGAAATGCGAGAAATAAGTGTGTCGATACAAGTGTGGGAATTTGTGCTGTCAGAGTGGAAAAGTCTAAGGCTCAGCAGTTAACTCTGCCCAGTCAGCAACAGAGAAAAGAAGGCAGCTCTTGAGGTGGGTGGTTCAGGGTGAGTAGGTGCTGGAGCAGTGAAAAGCACTGGCTGCTCTCCCAGAGGACTTAGTTCAGTTCCCAGCATCCACAGGGCAGTTCACAACTGTCTGAAACTCCAGTTCCGGGGAATCTCGACACCCTCTTCTGGCCCCTGCAGGCATCAGCTACACAGTGGTGTACAGACATACACCATGCAGACAACACCCATATACGTAAAATTTTAAAATGTTTAAAAGAAAAGTGAGCTATCACAGCAGAGCATCTGGGCTGTGAAGGTGTGGCTGGGATATCACAGTTGAAGAAGGAAAGAGGCAGGAAGAGATGCAGGCTAGAAGCCTTTATCAGTGAGAAGGCCTTTGTGTGTGTGTGTATGGTGAGGGGGGGATGCTATTGTTATTGTTGTTTGGAGCTGGGGTGGAGGGGTGCTGTTATTGTTTTGTGATGCTGGGGATAACTGTGGGCACTCAGCTACTTAGCGACACCTCAAATACCCAGAATGCCGTTTTACTTTTGGAAACAGAATCTTCTGAAGATTGGGAGGTGGGGTGTGTTGAAAGGTAGAGAACATGGAGAGAGGTGGGAAGCCCTCTAACGATGAGATCACATGGGAAAAATTCAAGTATTTGTAATTTGCATTTTATTTGCATTAGTTAAAATGAAAATAATTGGTACTTGGGACTAGAGAAGGGTTTTTGTTTCTTTTCCTTTCTCTCCTTTTTTGAGATGGGAGTTTTATGTCTCCTGGCTGTGTAGCTCAAGATGCCTTGAATTTCTGATCCTCCTGCCTCCTCCCCTCAAGTGATGTGATTGCAGTCATGAACCAGCATCCCCAAGTCCAGGGCTGAGCAAGCAGTCTGCCACACCGAGCTACACCCCTAGCCCTTAATTTTTCATCTACTTCTGTTTCAACTTTTGCAGTAAACACTCCGAGTATTTTTTAAGGAAAATAATTTTGTTCCAGGGCACTAAGATGTGCATTTTTACAGATTTGTGCTATCTGCCATGTGACTGTCGAGGAAGCACGGCCTGCTGCCTGGCCTCCAGCACATGACTGACTTGCCATCATTGAGGACCACTCACCAAGGCAGCCCTCCCTTGGCTTCTGGCCTTTGTTGCATTTGCACAGTGGGCTGAGCTTGCAAAAAGTGTTCACGGCTGCTTCATCGTCCTTATTACCATTTTCTCACTTTGAGTTCCTCAACACTAGTACTAAAATTTGCTATGGGATTGGATGCATCCATGTTTAAAATAACCTGGAAGAAGTTTCAATATGGGCTGCATTCAAATAGCACTGTCATAAAGAATCTTTTTTTAAATTTTTTAAAAAGATTTTGTGTATGTTTCTGTGTGCGTGCGTGCGTGTGCGTGTGCGTGTGCGTGTGCGTGTGCGTGTGCGTGTGTGTGTGTGTGTGTGTGTGTGTGTGTATACCCTTGGAGACCAGAAGAAGGTGTTGGATCCCCTGGAGCTGGAGTTGCAGAACATTTCGAGCTGCCTGTCATGTGTGAACTCTGGCCCTCTGGAAGAGCATACCTGAGCCCACTCTCAAGCCCCAAGCATCATTTTTTCTGTAGCTGATGAAGTTATGGGTTATATAGGAGAGTGTCCTTGTTCCTGGGTGATAGAAGTACAAGTATCAGAGATACTTGGAGTGAACCCTGAAGCTCTTGAAGTTGTTGATTGGGAGAGAAAAGATGTTGGGGGAGAAGGCACAGAGAGAAAACAAATTTAACAAAATGACACTCATTGCCAAATCAGGGGCAAAAGTATGTGGCTGTTCATTTTCCTATGGTTTGAATGCCACTGCAGAATTTCAATGAAACGTTGGGGAAAAGATATTTAAGATAAAGATGGAAATAACAAGGCAGACAGATCTTTTCCTGGAGTTTCTGAAAAGTGTGATCCTAATTAGTCTTAATAAAAACCTGGAGTCAGATATGGAGGGTGAACACTGAAAGATCAGAGAAGCAGAGCACCAGCTCTCACCCCTCCAATCCTCTGACTGAACAGGGGGCTGAGATCCTGTCTCCGACACCTTTTGTCTCCACCTCCCTAGTGCTGGGACTAAAGGTGTGCACCACCACTGCCCAGCTCTCATACTCTTTTAGACTGGTTCAATCTCTTGTAGCCCAAGGTGGCCTTGAACTCCTGATCTTCCTGTTTCTTCCTCCCAAGTGCTGGGATTAAAGGTGTATGCCACCACTGCCTGGCCTCTATGGTTGACTAGTGGCTAGCTCTGCCCTCTGATCTCTAGGCAAGCTATATTTGTCAGAACACAAACAAAATATAAGCCATGGTTGCATTAGAATTAAGAAAGTTCTTTTCTATGGCAGGTGATCCTTGGTCAGGGGCAAATCAGGAGGGAAAGAAAGGGCCCATTTTAGCCAGGAAGACAGTAGTAATCTTGACTGGGCCTAAAGGTTATCTGTTCTTACTTCACAGAAACTCTGCCGCATTTCTCCAGAAACACAGAGAGTCCTAGCCCCTAACTGCAGTTCTTCCCCTTCTCGGCAGTCTGCATTTGTCCTTGGGAAGGGAGCTCAGTGAGCAGAATGGCATTTTGCTGAGCTATGTGGCTTTTGGCTTCTTTATCATTATAAAGTTGGTAGTAGATGGGCTGAGTTAATGAACATGAGCATGTAGTACAGTGTTTGGTACACAGTAAAAGCCTTACAAGTACTATGCAACCAGTTCAGAGGCTGCTTGTCAAGACCATGCCTAGTAGCTGCAAAGGATGCTGAGGCATTGGAAACACAGGAATCAGCCATCACCTCTGTGTAGAATACAGAATACCCTGTCACTTCCCAAGGGACATACAGCCAGAGATGGGTGGAAGTATGTTTCAGTCATTTTAGTAATTCCCAGTACATCACCTTGTGCTTTTCATCTCCATTCATCAGTTGTTAACATTTTCACAAATTTTTGTAGTTTTCACATTACTATTTGTACATGTACAAATACTTTTTCCATTCAAGTATTTTAAATTTATTATAGCATATAGCATGAAGTACATGCCACCATATACATATGGGGGTCTGAGGACAACCCATGGACAGCCTCTCACCTCCATGGGTCCCAGGGATCAAACTCAGGCTGTGAGGCTTGCACAGCAAGCCCCCTGACCTGCAGAGCCATCCCGCGGGCGGGCCCTCTGCGGTATGCAGGTGTGGTGTCGCTTCGTTAAACCCCGTCTGAACTTCCTCACTGTAAAAACCTCTAGTGTTAGATTTCTCCTCTTCTACCTGGAAGTTACGGTGACTTAGATGAAACACAGCTTAGAGCGTGTCACTTAACTGCCCAAGGTCTTCCGGTGGTATCTCTTCTCATTCGTAGTAAAAGCCAAACCCCCTACCATGGCTTCCTGTGATCTGTGCCTGTTACCTCTCAACCCTTGATTCCTACCAGTCTCTCAGTGTCTACCAAGAGCTCTGGCCTCCTAGCAGCCCCTCAAACTGAGAATATTGCTGCTTTAGGGCCTTTGGTATCTCTTCTCTCTCAAGGAGCCACACAACACATGAACCAGGCGACAGAAGATAGGAGATGCAGGAGACTAGAGATCACGCCGGAATGTTGGAGCATCTTGGTCCGCGGTTCTCAACCTTCCTAACGCTGCAACCCTTTAATACAGTTCCACATGTTTTGGTGACCCTCAACCATAAGTTTATTTCATTGCTGCTTCCTCACTGTAGTTTTGCTACTTTTATGGATCGTAATGTGAACATCTGATATGTAGGCTGTCTGACATCCGCTGTCTCTATCTACCGCTGGTCTAGGTGAAGGGAAATTTGCAGGTGGCAGCCACACCCCAGGAGGGCAGTTGGTACTGCTACCAGCAGGTCAGATCTTGGGGCAGGGTCTCCTGTCACTGCTTGGTTTCTGAATACGGCTGAACCTGGGCGTACTGAAAGGAGATTTAGATCTTTTTAGACTCTGAGTATTCGAAGTTATTTAAATGAGAAATACATAGGAAAATTGCACATTAAAAAGGAAAGGATGAATGTGGATGACGATTGTTTAGTTTATATCTTCATCTGTCAGTTCAAAAGTAATTGAAATCAAGCCATCAGGCTGGCTCACCAAGCCTGATGGCCTGGAACCCACACAGGAAAAGGAGAGAGTCCACCCTCAAAAGTGGACAGTGCACTCAACTACACACACACACACACACACACACACACACACACACACACACACACGAGGGGGGAGGTGCACAGATAAATGTATAAAACATTTGTTTTGTTTTGAGATAGCGTTTCTCTGTGTAGTTTTGGTGCCTGTCCTGGAACTCACTCTGTAGACCAGGCTGGCCTCGAACTCACAGAGATCCGCCTGCCTCTGCCTCACGAGTGCTGGGATTAGAGGCGTGCGCCGCCACCACCACCCAGCTTGTGTAAAACCTTTGACAAGTTTTAGCTGTGTTTATTTTGAGTGTGTGTTTGTACCCACCCACACACCACAGCACCTGTGGAGGTGAGAAAACAGCGTGTGGGAATCATTTCTTTCCTCCTTCAGTGTGAGTTCCAGGGATTAAACTTGGGGCATCGTGA